GCAGGAGCTAAGGGGGAGGGGGAGGAGGGAGGGGGGAGGAGGAGGAGTGGAGCAGGGGGAGGGAGGAGGAGGGAGGGGGAAGGAGGAGCAGAGGGAGAGGAGGAGGAGCAGAGGAGCAGGAGCTAAGGGGGAGGGGGAGCGGGGGGAGGGAGGGGGAGGGGGCAGGAGGAGGAGGAGAAGCAGAGGTAGGGAGAGGAGGAGCAGGTGGAGGGTGGGGGAGGAGGAGGAGCAGAAGGAGCAGAGGAGGAGGAAGAACAGAGGGGAGGATGGGGGAGGAGGAGCAGGTGGGAGGGCAGAGGGGAAACGAAGAGTGGAGGAGCAGGGGAGGAGGAGCAGGGGGAGGGGGGGAGAGGGGGGGGGGGAGGAGGGGGGGGGGGGGCGGGGGTCTCACAGCCGGACTGCCCCCCTCCCCCTCCCCCCCGCAGGCTCTCGGCCGGGCTCCTCCGCCAGGCCACCTACACCACCACCCGCCTGGGCATCTACACCGTCCTCTTTGAGCGGCTGACGGGGCCCGACGGGACCCCGCCGGGCTTCCTCCTCAAGGCCCTCATCGGCATGACGGCCGGCGCCACCGGGGCCTTCGTGGGCACCCCGGCCGAGGTGGCCCTCATCCGCATGACCGCCGACGGCAGGTACGTCCCCGGGGAGGGAGGGAGGGGGGGGGCGGGGGGGAGGGGGAGATCAGTGGGGGAGGGGTGGCCAGTGGCTCCCCCGCCTCCCTGCCGGCCTCTTTTCCCAGGCTGCCCCCCGAGCAGCGCCGCGGCTACCGCAACGTCTTCGACGCCCTGCTGCGCATCACCCGCGAGGAAGGCGTCCCCACGCTCTGGAGGGTAGGCCGGGCTGCGGGGGGGGTGGGGGAGCCCTGCCCGATGACCTCTTAGGGACCCCGCCACGGGTCTTCCCCTCCCCTCCCCCCCGATCCTCCTTGCGGGAAAAGCACCCGCCCGGCTACTCTGCCCTCCCTCCTCCGCCGCCGCCCCCCTGCAAGGCGGGCCATGGGGAGGGGCCTAGCTCCGCCTTCGCTGCCTCCTCCCTCCTCTGCCCTAGGGGTGCGTGCCCACCATGGCCCGGGCAGTGGTCGTCAACGCCGCCCAGTTGGCCTCCTACTCCCAGTCGAAGCAGTTCCTCCTGGACTCGGGTAGGTGGGCCTCCCCTTCCGGGCGGGGTGAGGGTTGGGGTGCCTCTCCTTCCAGGTGGACGAGGGTTAGGGTGCCTCCCCTTCCAGGTGGCTTCCAGGCGGGCGAGAGTTGGGGAGCCTCCCCTTCTAAGCGGGCGAGAGTTGGGGATCCTCCCCTTCCAGGCGGGCGAGAGTTGGGGATCCTCCCCTTCCAGGCGGGCGAGAGTTGGGGATCCTCCCCTTCCAGGCGGGCGAGAGTTGGGGATCCTCCCCTTCCAG